GAGGTTCGATGATGTCGAGATTCCTGGGCAATACCTGCAGCACAAGGACAAGAACCAAGACTTCATCCGCATTGAGCGCTTCTTGCCCAATGTCGATCTGGTGCGGTCGATCAGTGCCTCGTACCGTCGTCTCCAGATGCGCGGTCACGATGGAAGCATCCACTCGTGGGCTGTTCAACACCCGGCGGCCAGACACTGCCGTCGCGAGGAGCGTATCCTGCAGCTCTTCAGACAGCTCAACCAGACCTTGGGTAGAAGAAAGGAGAGTCGCCGCCGAGACCTTCAGTTCACTCTGCCATTGATGGTTCCTCTTGCACCTCACATCCGCATTGTGCAGGAAGACACCTCATACATCACCCTGCAGAGCGTATATGAGGACCACTGCAGACGCCACGGCATGTCCAAGGACGATCCTGTATTATTTACCATGGAGAAGCTGCGTGGCGTTCTTGACACAAAGAACTCGGTAAGTAGCGCCATCAGAGAGTCAATGACAAAACCTGACAATTTTTCACAGAAGCATGCCGAGCAAAGCGCAACCGCCCGACTGGAGGTGTTCCACGCCATCCAGGAGAAGTGGGTGCCACAGAACTTGGCCCTGGACTATTTCCAGAAGGCCTTCCCCGACTTTACCGAGTTCTGGCTGTTCCGCAGACAGTTCTCATACCAGCTTGCGTCACTCACTTTTATGACATACATCCTGTACATGCACAACCGTTACCCACAGAAGATCAACATTGCTCGTGGATCTGGAAACATCTGGGGTTCGGAACTCATGGCGTACATGAGCGCTGCGAAGCCCTTCTTCCACAACCCGGAGCCGGTGCCATTCCGTCTGACGCCCAACCTCCAGACACTCATGGGCCCACTGGCAACGGAGGGCATCTTCAGCTGTGCTCTTATGGCCATCGCACGATGCCTCACAGAGCCCGAGTACGAGTTGGAGCACGCCCTTACGCTCTTCGTTCGCGATGAAATGATTTTCTGGTTCACGAGCTCCCACCGGACGGTGCAAATGACGGAGAACCAGCTCCGCGAATCGGTGCAAGTGAACAGCGACTCAGTGGTCAAGCGGGCCGTGAGCCTGGCACAGAGCCCCGTCGGCAACTTGCCTGCCAACCAGACGGTCATTGACCTCGTCGCTAAGGCAGTCAACCCCATGAACCTGGCGCAATGCGATGCGTTGTGGATGCCGTACTTGTAAAGAAAACGTGTGAGGGGGGTGGAAAGAAAGCAGAGGGCTTGGGGACTACGCGCACGTGTGTGTCTTGGGAGGTTACCCCTGTTGTATGATTTTAGCAAGGCGTTTTTTGGGATGCGAACGAGGATTGAGGGATTTGGAGGTCATGGAGGCCATGCAGGAGAGCAGGAAAAAATGGATGGTTAGAGATGACGATTCCTTGTTGTATTTGTACGGCCGTCTAGCATCAGAAGCTCTCCTACACATTGGCTGGTTAGAGCTCTCGATGTTGAAGCAAGATACAGCTTCATGATAATTCAGATTGTTTGTATTCAAGTTCCCAAACCTGATGAAGTTCATTTTGTATTTTTTGACTTTGCGGTGACATGTGCGCCATACTTACACGAATTAACCGAGTCGACGTTGAGGCAAACATGAACTTTCAGACGTAGAGTTTCGGGAGATCGGGAGAAATGGTAGTTTGCCGCGCGTGGAAGGCCGGGGTCGACCCGGCTCGCTAGCCTAGACCCTTGTCCCAAGCCTCCCAGACGCCAAACGTCAACTTACCAAAGCATCGGTGACAGTCCGAACTCGCTTGGCCGCCACATTCCCTCTCCCTCGTTTGGTGTGGTTCACCGTCTAGAAAGTCCGCACCCGCCAGTACGGCCTACTGGACCTTATGGATACGTACCCCCCCTACCCACTCACTCACCGCGGAGAGCCACCGGGCGAGTCGGGGCGCTCTCTTGGCTTGGCCTTATCAACAAGCAGTTCTTGAGCTTCCTTATCGGGGTACTCACACACACAAAACTCCACGTTGGAAAGATGGATGACGATTTGTAATCCCGGGGGTTGAGGAGCCATCCGGGGTGGTGGTGGTGGACTGGGGCACGGCGGACACGGAACTGTCATTCATTCGGTTGCTTGCTCTCTCTCGGTATCTTTTGCCTACCTCCTTCTCAACACTTCTTATCTTTCAAAGTCCGTTCTCATCTTCCCCTCCTTGGCTTTTGATTCACAGTCTTGTTGGTGGTTCTTTGAACTTTGGTATACCGTACTTCACATTACAGAACTCAACTATCAACATTGAGTTGTCCAGCGCAATTCGGCCACGGTATCGTATAAGCCTTATCTCCGCCGAGGCACGCGACAGCTAGCAGCATCACCATTATCCCCGTCACCAGCGATCGTGTCGCCGTACCAACGTCAATCAAGATGTCCGCCGCCACCATGGACAGCTCGTCCAAGAAGGCGCCCTTGAGCCTCGAGCACCACTTCTCCGAGGTAACCAAGAGGCGTGAGCCCAGCAAGATGAAGGAGTATTACAAGTACTTTGAGATTCCCGGCATTGGGAACCTAGCTGGAGGTTAGTAAGAGAACCCCGAAAACCACAATTTCACCGCTGGGAATTTCTCATTTCTTCACTTGAGTCTCACAACAGCACTTGTTTTTTTTTTCCCGTTACCACTCTCTTGTGTTGCTTCACCTTGAAAGTTGCACGGCATCAATGAGATTGATTCGGGTTGTCGCGATCTGTCCTACCCGTCTTGCAGTGAGACGGGAAGGATGCCGCAATATATGCCGTAATGTGCACCTTGCGTTGCGTGCTCATCACGTATACGTGCGGGATCGCGCGTCAACGCTCCAATGATATTCGCAATCCCGATTTCGGCCAAACCTTGGTACCCCGGGCAAAGCATGAATCGCTGACACTTTTCCGGAACCCCCATTATAGGCCTGCCGCATTCGAGCCTGTTCCCGTTCGACACCCTCGAGGCGCAAGCCGCGAAGCCCGAACGATGGGAACCATCTCCGATCCCCGATGATGGCACCACTGGCAACACCACCACCATTCCGATCCGGGGCGCCGCGGCCGCGGGCCAGGATAAGGAAAAGGACGTCAAGGCCTCCCGGCACGTCACCGTTCCCGGCACCGACGACGACCGCGACCCGCTCCGCCGCATCGACGTCGCCACCGCGCTGCAGTACGGTACGGCCGAGGGGTACCCGCCCCTCCGGTCCTTCATTCGCCAGTTCACGCGGGACCACCTGCACCCGGACGTACCGTACCTCGGCGGACCGGAGGTGATTCTCAGCTGCGGCGCGACCGACGGCTTCTCCAAGACGCTAGAGCTCATTACGAACCCGTGGAGCCCCGCGAAGGACGCCGCAGCGGAGCGGCCCGGTATGCTGTGCGAGGTCTTTGTGTACAGCCAGGTCTTGTCGCAGGCGCTGCCGCGGGGTATCCAGGTCGTGCCGGTCGAGATGGACGATGGCGGCATGATTGCCAATGGGCCTGGCGGGTTGGAGGAGGTGTTGGCTGGGTGGGATGAGAAGAATGGCAAGAGGCCGCATTTCATTTACACCGTGACGTGAGTTTGTTCTTTTCTCTCTAAACTTCATCTCTTTCTCTATCTCCTTTTCCCTTTTTGGGGGAGGATCGCTGCTCTGAGAGGCAAGACAAAACACATGGCTGACACGTGGCATGGGGTGCTTCTAGAATGGGTCACAACCCGACCAGCGGCATCTTGTCCGTCGAACGCCGTAAGGAGATTTACGCTATCGCCAGCAAGTACGATGTCATTATTGTCGAAGACGACCCGTACTGGTACTTGCAGTACCCCTCCGCGGTCGTCGAGGAAGCCAAGTCGCGCGGCCTCGAGGTTTCTCCCTCTCCTCCGACTTACAAGCCGACCAAGTCTTCCGGCTACCAGTTCCTGGATTCCTTGACCCCTTCGTTCCTCAGCATCGACACGGACGGCAGAGTCATTCGCCTCGACACCTTTTCCAAGACTATCGCGCCAGGATGCCGCATGGGCTGGATCACGGCGCAGCCGGCCATCATTGAGCGCTTGTTGAGGTATGCATCATCTATCCATCCACAATATATCACTCAAACACCATCAAAACTAACATGACCGTGTCTCTCCAGAATCACCGAAGTCACCACCCAGCAACCCTCAGGCTTCGTGCAATCCACCGTAGCAGAGCTCATCATGGGCGACCAGCCCCCCGCCGCCCGCTCCGCCTTCGCTGCCCTCACCTCGCGCCAGAAGCAAACATTCGAGGGCTGGAAGATGGACGGCTGGGTCCGTTGGCTCGCCGGCCTCCGCGGCGTCTACGAGCGCCGCATGAACCGCATGTGCACCATCCTCGACGAAGGCTCCATCCAGCTCAAGCAGTCGACCCCGCGCAGCGCCGACGATGCCGAATGGGGCGTCGTGAGCAAGACACAGCTCTACGAGTTTGCGTGGCCTCGCGGTGGCATGTTCATCTGGCTCAAGCTGCGGCTCGAGACGCACCCGCTGTGGATGGCGACGGGCGGCGAGCGGATCCCTCTGCTCGATGGGGAGAGGCTGTCGACGGCGCTCATGTTCTTTGCGACCAAGAAGCCGTATCGCGTGCTCGTGAGCCCCGGACTCATCTTTAGTGCCACGCCGGCGATTCGGGCGGAGAGGGGGTGGGCTTACTTCCGGTTGTGTTTTGCGGCTGAGACGGAGGAGAATGTGGACTTGTGCGCGCAGAGGTTGGCGGATGCGATTCAGAGGTTCTGGAGGATCAAGAAGGTGGAAGAGGTTGAGCAGTTGCTCGGGGACTTTTTCCTGGCCCAGGGTGAAGAAGAGGAGGGGCTTGAGGGCTTGGGCAACTTGGGTAGCCTGATGGGATGCTGAAGGCCCCTTGGATACATCTTGGAAGGACAGACATTTTAACGAATCAGATGAATCAAACCATCCGTATGACATATAACAGAACGTGGGTTACAGCTCACACATGATATGCAGCATGGAGATTAGAGAACTTTTTGTAGCTACCTTACAGTCACTACGTAATAGAGAGAAAATACAAAAACAAGAAAAGGTCATAATCACGTGGAATAGAGTCGTCACGGTCCAGGGGCAGACCAAAGTACACCAAGACTTTTGTTGTGTGAATTCAAGGGAATCATTTGTCCATTGATGAATTGAGGTCAACATTTCCTAGTTGCCATTACGCCTCAAGCACAAACCATGCTAAAATGTAGCCCCGTCCGTTTCAGAAACCTGCATTCCACCACCGTCGTCAGAACACCCGTCCCAGGTAAGAAATTGTTTATTTCTTCTGGGCAGCCTCCTTGGCGAATACCGAGGCGTAGGGGTTCAGGCGGAGCATGACCTGCTTGTTCTTGAGGGGGTTCTTCTTCTGGACCGCGGAGCGGCGGGTGACGGCGTAACCCTTGGGCTCGTTGAGGGCGGACTGGGTTTCCGAGCTGTTGATCAGACGGGTCAGGTCGCTCTGGGAGACGATGTTGGAGGGAAGGAGGAAGTCCTTCTTGAGGGCGGAGGGCTGGGTGGTGGTGCCGTAGATGGTGTCCAGGGACTTGAAGGCGGCAGAGGTCCAGACGACGAAGCGGCCGAGGTGGCCACCGGGGGCGAGCTGGAGGAGGTTGAGGGCGGTGACGGAGGAGGTCTCGACACCGGGGACGTTGCGGAACGCGGTGACGAGCTCCTTGCCGTCGACCTCGGGGTCGTAGATGACCAAGGGGCCGCGGCGCTGGCGGTGGCGGCGGCCGCGAAGCTTACCCTTACCGGCGCGGAGCTTCTTGGACTTCTTGACCTTCTCGACGTCGTCGGCGGCACCGACAGTCTTCAGGAGAGAGACGGCGGCGGAGGTGCGGGCGACAGCGGCGTTCTCGAAGAGAGCAGAGTCGACGACCAGGGGGACCTCGGGGACGTTGGAGACCTGGTGACCGCGGGCCTGGAGGAGGGGAGCAACGCCGGAGGCGGCGATGGCGGAAACGGTAGCGTAACGTCTATAGATGATGCCTGTTAGGAACACTGCACTTTTTTGTTTGATCTTCACGATCCCCGCAGTGGGGTGAAGAATCTGGAGGGAAAAAAATCTCACCTCTGGCCCTGGGAGACCTTGACGTGCCACTTGCGCCAGGTCTTGGTAGGGGCGAACATGCGACCGGAACGGCACATGTTACCGAAGGCGGCCTGACCGGCACGGTGAGTACCACCACCGGAGACACGGGGGATACGGGCAACAGCGCGACCTGTGGTGTTTCTGTCAGCACAATTATTCCCTTCTCAGAGTGGCGTCTTCGATAGAGTCCTCTCTTTCTCAGCCGTCGTGAATCCTCCAATTCGTCGAGAAAGTTTTCGCTTCGGTCCCTCATGCATCCAACTCGTGGCAGGTTGTGTCGGAACTCCCTTCCCAGGTGTCTGCTCGAGGTCCCGTTCGCGTTTCCTTCCTCGTCAAATTTTCGGTTCCCCCACTCCAGCTGGAAATTCGAAGATCCTCCTCTCGTGACGCTCTCGCTCCGGATGGGTGTCGACTAACCAGTTCCCCAAGACTCGGCAGAGGTCTGGTGACCGGCCTTCTCGCTGACGGAGTAGGGCTGGCGCTTGTTCTTGGCCAGGCCCTTGTGAACCTCCTGGACGATATCGGGACGGATAGGGCTCAGGAAGACAGCCGGCAGGGTGTGGGTGTTGCCGGAGGACTTGCCATCCTTGCCGATGATGGTGACGGTAGGTCTCGAAGCCATTGTGTTGATCGTTGATTGACCTGTGAAGAGAGAAAAGAAGCACAAATGGTTAGTTGATGATGATGGACAGCGAAAGAATTGAAAATTTGCCGGGACGCCTTGCTTGAATACGGAGAATTCCGATTTTTTCGTACGAAACCAGGGAGTAAAGAAAATTGAGCTTACCTGGGTCAACGGTGGGCTTCAGTGGCTGCTGGTTAGTGACGGGGTTGAAGTTTGCACTTTGGCTTCGCGATCAATTTCACACGACAATGTGAGAAAAAAAATCGGTGTGGGCGGCGGAGACCCTAGGTACCCAGGTACCCAGGTACCTGTTAGCGAAGCCCGGCTTGAATCACGTGAGTCGCCGGGAGCACAGTGCTTATCAAATTGCTCTAACACAGTATTTGCCCCACCCTTCATCTTCGTAATGGAATGCTTTAGGACGGGCGGCGGGACTCGGAAGGTTCGCGTCAATGGGTCTCTCCAGATCTTGAAAGCCCGCTTCACCGTATCCTTGGAGCGCGCTGGGCACTTGGCCAACTCTTATAGCCTACCTAAGATGATGCAAGTTGACCAACCAATTTCAATCTCATTCCATGTGAGGTTCAGTTGAATGAGTCTTGGTTTGGTGTTCAGAGTTGAGAGTATCTTTGATACATGTCAAGAGGTGCAAGCAATGCTGAGTACTCCGTATACCGCAAATACTTCACCTTCATTTGCAACAACGAAAGCTCTATTTCTCAAGCGTCTGCGAGTGTTCGGCAACGCTTCGCTTCGTTGACGTTTTTTGGCCGGTCTAATGCTCCGAAGCCCAGGAAAACCCAACATATACATTGGCTCAGAACAAATGGGCATCAAACCTCTCTTGTTGACTGACGTATGGTATGCTGAGTGAGAAAAGTTGCCAAAGGGCAGTGTCATTCTCGAAAGACATATTATCTTCTATACCACCCTCAAGACTACAGGTTTAAGAGCGGTTTCATCACAACTGCAATCACTAAGCTTCTGAAAGTCAAATACGGTAGACCTCATCAATGTCTTTCACACACGAACAGCGAATTGCACGCGTCTCGTATGAAAATCCAAATATGCCCTTGTGAGTGCAAGTGGGTGGCCACGAATACATACCTCTTTACCGACACCCCCTGACTCAACCAAGCCCAAGCAACGCCATAAACGAGTCCCAGCAACAGTATCAGACAAAAACGACTCCATCCTGACAATTTGAGCAAAATGTGAAAAGAGTTGGGCCCTAACCAGGATTCGAACCTGGGACCTCTCCCATGTGTGTCATGAAGACCCTAAGGGAGAATCATACCGCTAGACCATCAGGGCTGACGAGGTATTCCTTGTTGATTCTCGTAAGTGTCTGACTACCTATTATCTTATCCTCTCGTCCCTCCCTCTTGCCCTAGTCCAGCCGGGAGTCAAACGCCAGCCGTTACTGTCTCTCACTTCATGTGAAGTTGCATGGACGTAGGGACGTTACAACCCGCGAATCAAGCCTTGGAAACCCTCTCAGGACCATTGCTCGCCCAGGCTCACAGGAAACAGGAAATAGTCTCGCTATCTTTCCCACCAGTGATGAGGTTGAAGAGTAGCCGGATCTGATTAGATGCAGATTGCCAACGGGTTTCCGAAGTCATGCTATCAGACCCTAGACCGGGCGCAAAGATCCCTGTCAACCGCTCCAGAGATAAGGTAAAACGCTACGCGTCCAGTGTCGCAATCGAACGAACCGTTTTGCTCAGAGTCGGCATCCGAGCCTATTGCTTTATACCCGAGCTGATCTACTTTTACACTCGACTTACCTCCCCTTAGATATGTTTTTGCAAAATTTCGTAAAACGTAGTTGAAGTAACTGGGAAAGGAGTCAACCTGAACACGCCCAACCCAAGCTTCTAGGATCCCGCCACTCACCTTGCATGGATTTCAAAGGTCGCTATTAGGACTTAACGCCCCTCGGCTCGAAGCTGAGCGAACCTAAGGTCAGCTCCTCCGATAATGGCGGACCTCCGCACCGACGAGACCTCGCCGTTTCTCCAACGGCCCCCGGCAACAGCAAGATCCCGCGATACTTCCCCGGCAGTGTCGGCGACGTCGGCGTCACACAAGCTCACCCTCTTCAACGGCCTCGCAATCGTTATCAGCCTACAAATCGGCTCGGGGATCTTCAGCGTGCCCTCACAAATTAGCCAATTCGTTACTGCGCCAGGCTATGGCCTTTTGGCCTGGCTTTTTGGTGGTCTCCTTGTCTGGACCGGCGCCGCCTCCTTCATCGAACTCGGGTTGCGCATCCCCAATAATGGCGGCATCCAGGAATACCTGCGGGCCTGCTACGGCGAGTTCGCCGGATTCTTGTTCACCTGGGTCTGGTGCACCATTATCAAGCCTGCGGCGAACTCAATGATTGCGACAATTTTTGCGGATTATCTCACCGAGGCCTTTGTTGCAGACCAAGAGACGCTGCCGCCTTGGGTGTCAAAGGTGGTGGCGGCGAGCTGCATCGTGATCATGACACTGGTTAATTGCCTGGGTGCGACCGCGGGCGCAAAGGCGGCTAACTTATTTCTCTTTCTAAAGATGACGGCTCTGACCATCATCATCGTCCTTGGCTGCGGCGTCTGGGCCTTTGGTCACGGAGAGGGTGTCCCCTCATCCGAGTATGGATGGTTTGGCCAGGCTCCTGAGCAGCGCGAAATCGGTCTTTGGGAGTGGCTCGGTGATTTTGGGACGGCAACGTTCGGAGCTCTGTGGTGTTATGCCGGCTGGGAAATGGTGAGTTTGACTGCTCGCCCACTTTGGCAGTGGATGGAAACTGAATACCCGGCAGGTTGGCTTTGTCTTGGGAGACATGAAAAATCCAAGGAGAGACCTGCCCCTCGTGATTAACGGCTCCATGATCGTGGTGATCATCGGCTTCATGCTGATGAATGCAGCTCTTTATGTCTGCCTGCCCATGAACGTCATGCGGACGACCAGCACTGTCGCGGTGGTAAGTATCACAAGTGAGACGGATGAAAATGTTTGCGAGGCTGACTCGAGAGAAGGAATTCGCGAATCGAATTCTTGGAACTTGGGCTGGGCTTCTCTTTTGCGTTATAGTGTCCATTTCGGCAATGGGTGCTTTAAACTCCAACGTGTTTGCGACTGCCAAGCTCGTCGTTGTTGCTAGTCAGAGGGGATATTTCCCTGCGATCCTGGCAAATCTGCACTGTAGTCACGAAAAAGACGAGGCTGTGTGTGTCGACGAATATCTTTCGTCTACGCCGAGACTGGTCCGAGGACCTATCAAGGGTTTCTTGTCCTGGACCCAGAATCGTCGGTGGAGGAGGAACGTGCCGTTGCTCCCTCTTATGCTGAACTGTGCCTTGTCAATCGTATATGTAGCTGTCGGGAGCTTCAATGGGCTCGTTACTTTTATCGGTGGGCCTCTCCGTTTGGAAAGCGATCGCATAGAATGATTAACTGACACACAATCCAGGACTGGCGGCGTATATGATCTTCTTCTCTTCAGCCATTGGCCTCATCCTTCTCCGTAGACGAGACGGCCGCGTGCCGGGGGCGAAGGCTGCCGAGTATAGCACTTGGCTCATCAATCCTGTCATCTTCAGCGCCATCAGTGGCCTGCTAGTCGTCAGAGGAGTCATCTCAGAACCTCTGCAGGGAGGGGCTATTCTCTTGGTGGCCTTGCTCGGCGTCGGCTTCTTCTCGCTCAGGTTTGGCTTGCGCGGCTTCACCCATGCAGAGACCAGATGAGGCTCGCCCAGCCATCCATATTTCCGTTGTGGTCGTGCGGCAGCTGCGTTGCTTCCCCGGCCGGAGCAGTCATACGCGGCTGGACTGTCCGTCCCGGAGCTTGGACTATCCTCTCAAGCACACTCTCCAGTCAACCCTGAGTCTTCGAAGTCTGTGACACGGTAAAGGCTTGCCAAAGTTGCTGTCGCAGAATAGACTGGCAGAATAGAACGGCACACCTCCCGGTGGCTGTGAATCGGCCTGCTTCCTCACAGCTGGCCAAGTCGTAGTAGAGTGTCAGCGGTTAATCGACAGGCGTTAGGCACGTTGGATGCCGGAGGTGGAGAGGTCTGTGGAACTTTGGGCAGTGGTACGGTCCGTGTTGGGCCTAAATGCCTCCTTATTCCCAGTCAAGTGGAAGGCGTCATGAAACTGTACCAATTTGATGCTATTCAAAGACGTCAGGGAATGGCCGCTGTGCCCCCAAAGATAGGCTTGGGCCGCGCTAGATGATGCAAAATGCACGGTGTCTGAAGAGCTTGGATGACCGCAATCAGGGGCCACAGCAGTTAGCTTCGGCACAATTGACTTGAGATCTTTAGTGATTGGCAACGTCAAAGTCGTCCAAAAAATTGAGCTTTTGACCATGTTAGACGGAGACCGTCGTTGTGGCGTGAGAAGCGTTGCACTGGAATCCCACCGCTCTTTCTCAATGCAGATCATCGGAAGTGAAGGGTGTCGATGGCAGTCTGAATGACGAGCTGGCGTAGATAGCTGCAGCTCTAAGACGTCGGAGACTTTGGGTGTTCTAGAAAATGCACACTTTTGCTATCCAACACTTGCGGCAGCTAGCCGTGTGCATGACCCCGTTGTGGGATGGAGGGGGGGAGAGAAGAGGCGAGTCTCGAAGCCTGGAGGAGGTGTGGGGGTGGGTAGGTAGGACGGCGTCTGACATGGACACAGCATGTCTGCTAACTTTTCAGAAAAAAGATACGTAAGGTGACCTAGGATGCTGCATTTTCTCTGTCGTAGATTAGTGCTAGAAACGATAGATAAGGGGCAATACGTTTAGCATCATACTATTGTTCGAGAAACTACCTGGTATAATGTAACGGACGGATACCTAGGGTCGATGCCCGTCTTATCACCAAGATACGAACTGAATGTCGTCCGGGGGGACGGGAAGCGTTGGTTGATCTCCGAATTTCGTCACATCGTAGAACGGGGCAGGTCGGCATTCGTTGACCAAAATGGCGAGTCTTGAGAATTGGCCGTGGTGCCAGGCATGGAGATCCAATGTAGACTAAGCCTCGCTCCTCACATTCACGGCGACTAGTCGGCCGTTACCTGACCTCAGCAAGAGTACACGGCAACGCCGCGTGGCGCATGCTGTTGTCGCTCTGGGCCAATGACAGATGGACCGTTGGAGTCTCGTTTAGAACCCTCGTAACCGTATGCTTAGTTTGCCCTAGTCGTCGGATGTTCTCTTTTGGTTGACCACAACTAGCGAATTACGGGCCAATTTGTCTTCATCTTGAGTACCTATCTGTAGATGGGCATCGTAACTTCATAGGTGTGCAAAGATCAGGGTCGGGCCCCGTCAGGGCAAATCCGTGCAACCGTGAAAAGGTCGGAATGCAGGCAGGGACGGCAGGCTGTCGTGGTACCGTGCCAGGCCTCATCGCAGGTGGACGGTCGAATCGACAGCGTCAGTTGCCCTAAACAGGTTCCTAGCATATGCAAGAAGGTATCAAGCTAGGTAGACCGGAGGTGAGAACCGGGTGGAAAGTGGATACAGGTCGATGCCGATGCACTTTGGCCTTGGGCCGTCCGCACGCTCGAACGTTTCTTAGACTTTGACCTTGGACATTGGGAGGGGGGCTAAAGGGCTCCATCTGCAAGATGCGCTGTGGGCATGGCCATCTTGCCATCATTCGTATGCAGGTCGGCGAGGGCGAGCAGCAAGGGTGAAAGAAAGTGTGGAAATGCTGCATCTCGGATCGAGTCATCGCCACCATCCATTCCGAAACGTTGAGTAATGAATTGTGTCTTTTTATTGTATTTCTGTTTTCCTGAACAGACATTCAGTGCGACAGACGGGAGCATTCGTAAATAGAAAGAAAGGAGGCGTGCGTATTCGTAGGTGAACAACACATGGGCTGCATGGCTGCAGGTGGAGAGGGAAACCTGGCGAGGTTTGTTTGTTGTTGGAAGTTGGAAGACGGCAATGCAATGCAATGGCCTTGGTGGTCTCCCACAGACAGCCAGTCGGTTGGCCGAACAAGACGGGGAGGAATATGTGAGGCTGGGAGGCTATAGTTCGGTCGTCGGGGCCCAGAGCGGCAGGTTTTGTTGTGATAAGCTGCGAGAAGGATCTTCCCGTGCCCTCAAACTTTGAATCCAACATCAGAGAGTTGCGTCTTGGGAACGGTGTCACCTCGGTGACCACAGGGCACTGACTGTGAAGCTGTGTTCCTGCCCTGAATGGCGACGGCGGAGGGCACCGAACAGGCAATCCTGGAAAGAGCCATCGAACGCCCGGGGCAGCTGGAGCACTGAGCTGGCTGGCTGGATGACAAGACCAGGAAGGCCCTTCCTGCGTGCCTGCTTTCCGGCTGAGGTGTCTTGGTATCTCCCAGGTTCGTACGGAGTGGTAGCATCCAATGTATCTTGTATCCGTAAGGTAGGTAGAACGGCAAGGCGGGAATGGGAGAGAGCCCAGCCCAGCCCGGGATAAACACACGCGTGCACAGCAGCCCGTCGAGTGGGGATACAAATTACCTCTAGCCTGCACACCTGCGCCGCACCCCGTCATCATGGAGGGGCACCAAAACGACAACACTTTCCCACCCTCAGTGTTCCTCCCCCCCTCCTCATCATCCACACCCCCTGTCGGCCATGTTCAAATAAGGACTTGCACCTACGCCGCATCTTCAACGCTTCCCACATCCCACCTTCCCCCTCCCCGCCTGACACCAAATAAGACGCCTTCTTGAATCTAGCCCGTCTTTCCAGCCCCAGCCGTTTTTGGGGAAATCGTCGTGGTAGCAATCTTCCGCACCTCTCAGCTTTCCTTCTATCTCAGCATTGACAACTACAACTTCCCCACCGCCCGGCCAGTCGGAACGCTTCACGACTCTTACGTCCTTGTCCGGGTCTGCCTTCGCTTCCGCTGACGCGACACCGCTACTTATTTCTCGATCCGTACATATTTTGCTTTGGACAAGGAACCTTGCCGGCTGCTACAATTACCTATACTCGTTACGACCCAGGCCAGAAAGCACGCCTCAGCGGAAGAAACGAAACGTTGCGCAAGACTGCGACAACCGCCTGAGAGACCGGGGTCTTCCGCTCCCGTCCTCGTCAGCTGCAGAGACACACGATGCCTTCAAAGTCCCGACAATCTGTCTGAGTTTTCGTTACCATCTGGCATACCAACTCTCCGAATATGAGCGAATCACGCAACATAGAAGATCTTTTACAGACGGGCTTCTTCACAACCTCTAGGGCCAAAACTCCCAAGCAGTAGGCCCATCTCTCCCTATCTCTCTGCTGTATATCATGTCTTACCCAAGTTACAGACCTAGCACGGAAGCTCCGGCCGTTCCTCCTCATGTCTCCAGCATCTCCAATATTACCCGACCGGCCTCCAACCCGGATCCGCTGGTACCCAGGTCCTTCGACCCGCCATTGAGGCTCACCCGTCGCAAACACTTTCCGCCCCCGCCAACCGTCGAAGATGAGACCGAAGCGCTCCAAAAAGAGCACGGCAGCGCTGCCTCACTCGTGAGCGACACCGAGCCTCCATCACGAGGTGACGCCGATCAATACCCCATCATAATGGAGGTACACGAACACAATCCCGAACGCCGATTCGTCCTGGTACCAAAGTCTGCGAGCGGGACAGAAGATGAAGATTCGTCCGACGACGCCAAAGCACGCGCTGCCGAACTTTCGCGCCATGCGAAGTCTGAGACCAAGGGCGACTACGGAGCAAACTACGAAGCGAACACTGGCAGAAAATACCGGGCGCCTCCAGTCGAGGACCTGAATCAACACAAGCGACCAGATCTCGAAAAGAAAAAGAGCAGACAAGAGCTTCCACGCATTGAGACTGATGTTAAGGACGAGGAGACCCGGCCTCGGAAACATGAACGAACAAAATCTGCGACTCGCGTGGAGCAACAACCTGCCGATTACTTCTCACCAAAGGAGGACAAGAGACAGCCCAAGGAGCCTCTTCTCTCACCACAGGTGATCAAGCACGCAACAGGTGGGCGCGAAAAAGCCTACTACGACTACTCGCAATCTGGTCGGAATGGTGCACCTCGGCCCCAGAGAAGCCGTTCGAATCTGGCCGATGATAGCAGAAAATTCGACGACAACTACACACGTCAAAACGCATCATCAAACCCGCCGCCGACGCGTCGTTCCAACACTAATATTGACTCTCCTCCCAAGGAGTCGAGGGTTGCATCTGGCGACAGGTTGAACGAGTCTCCTCGCTACCAACGAGAACGGGTGGTACCGCGTGGCGAACGGCCACAGAAGAAGGATCCTTCGCCGCCCTATGATCGCTTGGACCGCGACCGCGAGCGTGAACGTGACCGCGAACGTGAGCGTGAGCGTGACCGCGATGGTGGCTCGAAGAGGACATCGAATTCCAAGCGTGATACTCCACGACGCAGAGATGACAGTGGCTCCAGCAGTAGCGATTACACGCAAACTCCACGAACAGCCAATATTCGGCGGAGAAAGTCGATGGTTGAACAAGAAGACAAGGACATATTGCTGAGCCCTGTCCAGCTCAAGCCATCTCAGTCGGCCAGATCGAGATCGAGGCCTCCCCCGGCAGAAGTTGTGATGCCATCTCCACGAGTCTCCACAAAGTCGTTTGCTGACGACATTCCGCCTCCTCCTCCGCCTCGATCCTCACAAACATTTCCGGTGACAAGGGAGCCCAGGGATAATGGAGATATCAAGGAGAAGTCTGTTCCATACCCTGATGACGACCTACTGCCTAGAGTAAGCCGCCTTAGCGTCCGCGATTCCGAGTCGCGTCCCTCGAGAGCGCGATCAAGGTCTCGGGCATCTACTTTCAACAACCCAGTGATAGTACCAGCGGTCATGCCTGCCATGCCTGCTCCTGCTGGACCACGGAGCCCTACAGAAAAAAGACGATCGCCTGAGAGAAGGGCCAATTTAAGTCAAACAATTCCGCCAATGGAGGTGTGGCCACCAGCCAAATTTGACCCGACGAAGAGCGCACCAGCCGTCGACGGACCGAGGGGTAGCTACCGACGATATTCGCACGATGCAGACCGCGGTGGCGTGTCTGACTTTCCCGATTGCCCTCGGAAGAAGGGCATTGTAGGCAAGGCTGATTGGCTTAGTCTGCCTAGGTGCGACAACTTCAACATCTGTCCAGACTGCTACAACGGAGTGTTTCTCAACACCGAATTCCGCAATGACTTTATGCCCATGTTGTTCCGACCAATGGACAAGCCAATTGCCTGCGATTTTGGCTCCATTGGGTGGTATCACATTGCGTGGTTGTTGACGTTGAAGAATCGTTTGACGGACTTGCGCCTATTCTATCAGGTCGCCAATGTTACCAGCAAGGCGACAAGCAGCATTCAGCCCTGCTCAGGAGACCGTCGAAATACCCGCGTTTGGTACTCGATCAAGAATCCGTATACGCAGACGACGATGCCAGACTTCACCGTCTGTTACGAATGTGCCAAAACCATCGAAGCACTACTTCCCAACCTGATAGGCCTGTTCGTCACGCTCCACCCCACGGCACAGCCCACGAGGAGCGTGTGCTCGATGCACTTTAATCCTGATCGAAAGCGTTTCGTGATGTATTTCGATGCACTTGAGACGACCTCAGATGTCGCTCTCGCAACAACCCAAGCGCCCAACATCGCGAAGCTTGTGACAGACATTGAAAACCTTTCCGTGTTTGCAGAGTGCTCCAAGGACAACCCAGTCTATGATCAAAACTGGCACGTCATGCAATTTCTTCCCCAGTTCACCGTCTGCGGTGACTGTTTCGACGAGGTGGTGGCGCCTCAACTGAGAGACGGCAACGTCATTGCGAGGAACTTTTATGTGAAGCCACAACGCTTAGAAGAGGCGTCGTGTCAGCTGTATTCTATCAGAATGAGGGCCGTCTTCGACAAATCATGCCGTCGTAATGAGCCCAAATATCTCGAGACCAAGGTGATCGAGCGGCAAAAGATGTTCACGGAGACGTATAAGAGGATGGCAAAACTAGAGCAGGAGCGGACGCAGTGGGCGCGAGAGGAGAGCAAGAAGCTACTCGAGGAATGGGAAAAATGGGAATGATGAATGCGTATGAATGAAATGAGCATGAGAAACAGACGAGCATGTGGTGGGAATCAGTTTATACCACGGCCTGGATCACCATAGAGCCTCTAGGAAACTTATGAGTACATGGAGAAAATAATCGTCTGTATGAAATTGGAACAGCCATTGTGAATGCTGGAAGCCCTGCCATGATGCGTTATTATGGCGTGCTGTTCTCCTCGAGCATCGGGCCACATATCTTACAAAACTTTTCTCTTTAGGTTAGTGATCAATTCTCATTTGTCAAATAGGAGATCAATCCAGGTTGCAAAGATGTAGTCACTCATGTACATAAGACAAGATGTCTAGGTCCAACCTTTGAACTTTGCTGAAGACGCACTTAAACTTGGGGAGAAGATCAGTAGACCATTCAGCTCAGTGCTCGCATGCTCTCAGTCCCTCAAGAAAATCGCATGCTAAAGCGGGCTGGACTTCACACAAATGTGACGGTGAAATAACACACCTTACCATACAACCGTTCCGTCCATCAAGGTCCCCGAACCACAGAAGCAAGCCGACCGGTCCAACGGTTTCCCGAAACGGGAAGACATGCAGATCGGTAGCTGCTACGACTCTGCGGCGCCATGTTACGACTCTAGGTTGACGGTTGACGGCTGACGGCTGCGCGCGTAGATGGTGTAGTGCTTTCTTTTGCCAGAGGCCCGAATCGCAGCTCCAGCAGCATGCTGGTCTACCTGCTTCCATGACACAACTGTGGCATTTTGATGTAATACACGAAACGGACAAGTTCTACTTGTCCACGAAGAGACAGTAATACTCCATAGACGAGTGTTGATTCGAGTGGCCCATGTGTCTGTCCGGAGTAAAAGGTCGATCTCGTACCTCGGGATCCGCGGTCCATGTGCTCAACAATCGTCTTGAGTCTTGATTGACCTCGCCTCGGTCGATCAAAGGTAGAGATGGCCAACTAGCGTGATGAGGGGTGCGGTACTATTTGAGATATTTGTGTTTTCTCCCTTGACGAACCTTGAATAGTAATGCATAGCGAGAAAGGGAAACCCGGCATTTGTGGCGCAGAACATCTTTTTGGGTTTTTTTGGTAGAGCCACAAGCCATGAACCATCCCAACATCGCAGTTGGCAGGCGAGAACGAAAATAGTCATGCAGCGAGCGGTTCCTTCAGGTACTGTACCTATTAACGAGTGAAAGAACGATGCGAGAGGGGGTGTGACGCACGGGCCCATTTCCCTCGAGGGTGTGGTTCAGATAATCCTGGGCGTTGCTTGCATGCGTGACAGTCAACTTTGCCGAACATCAAAATGATCCTAACCTTGGAATTACAACATTGCACACAGAGAGGACTGCAGCAAGCAACATCGGATTCCCGTCTGCACGACTGCAGCAAGTTCGCATGCAGCTATGCGTCGTCCAGTGTATGCGGGCTCCCTCTCGTACAGGAAAACAGCCTGCATCTACTAAAAGGTCGGATCATTACCCACAGAACTTCCAAGTTTAGAGCGACGTGCCGTCTGTTCTCCATCTCTCCAATACGAACTCTGTATCGCGAACTCCTCATGATGGAGGCCCCAAACTCAAGGAAACCCTTTTTGCTCAACCCACTGCAAAAAGCTGCAAACCAAATGACCGTTCCACCAGAGAGATCCAGATCTTCCAGAGGCTTGGCAACACAAGTCTAAAATGTTTACTCGTCTCTTTTGGCTTCCGGTTACACGTCTGTGGTCGCAAGGGGGTTCCGCGGCCAATCTTGAGACGGAGAGGCTGCCAAGTTCGAACCGCAACGGTTTCATCTCTCCCCGTACCCGAACGCACAGCCTCGCTCGCCTCGCTTCTTTCCCACATCTTTACAGTCCCTGTCTTGCTTGTCTCTCATCGTCGCTGTTCACTTTAGTAAAAAAGGGGTGGAGAGTTCATGGCGGTGCGACACGATGACAAGGGCGCCTGGGGTTCGGAAACGTCTTGTACGGGGGTTGACGCAGCAGAAAATCGGTCACGACGTTGAATGTTCGACGAAGTCGTCCAAACTCAGTCATGGGGGGTAGAAGTCCCCTCCTTTCTCTCCAGTCTGTCTCTCTTGCTATTCTCCTTCACGTCATTCTGGTCTCTTTCTCTTTTCCCCCCTCAACCCTTACCCTTCCTGTGCTCCATCTCGGCTTCGCTGACTATTGTCTTTGAAGCATTCCTTTCTTTTTCGTCAACGCGAGACCGTTGCGAAGACTTGTTCACAAGTCTATTCCATTCTTTACTCCTGGTCGAGTGCTCTTTTCGTGTCCGGTTGTTTCAGGCTTCTCTGGTTTAATTCTTCCCTTCGCAGTCCAGGAGACATCTTGAGTAAACGAGTTTTGTTCATGATCTATTTTTATGTTATTCTTTATCCTTTTATAGCCAACTGAACCAACTATCTATCTGGCACGGTAACATCGAAAGAGCTGAGACGACAAGCAACAAACGTTATCCACGAAGGAGCTGCGGTCTCGGTCTGATATCCCATAACGGATCACAATCTTTACCCCGACGACGACGACGACAACTTGCAACCCACAGTCAATCATGCGGGGGTTCTTGAAGGTTGCTGGCGCAGCATGCGTGCTCGGCCAGCTCGCGGACGCGGCTGTCAAGATCAACTTTGACCAAGACCAGTCCATCAAGGATGGTGCGAGCACAATAGCCTTCGGCTTGTTGAAGTTCTACACAGGAAACAACACTGGCGACACACCGGGCAACTTGCCAGACCCGTACTTCTGTAAGTGGTTTTGCCGAGGGGTTCCCATGTCCGATCTAATCTAACAAGACATCAGGGTGGGAGGCTGGAGCGATGTTCGGCACAATGGTGGATTACTGGCGCCTTACAGGAGACGATACATACAACGCAGTAACAACACAAGCACTACTTCACCAAGCAGGCGATGATGCCGACTTTATGCCAAGGAACCAGACGAGAACGGAAGGAAACGACGACCAAGGATTCTGGGCTATGGCGGCAATGAGTGCGGCGGAAAACAATTTCCCGAACCCTCCGTCAGACAAGCCTCAATGGCTGGCGCTCGCCCAGGCTACCTTCAACCAATATGTTAGCCGCTGGGATATGGAGACTTGTGGCGGTGGATTGCGGTGGCAGATCTTCACGTTCAACAACGGTTTCAACTACAAAAACTCGATTTCGAACGGATGCTTTTTCAACATTGCAGCTCGGCTGGCGCGATTTACTGGCAACCAGACGTATGCGGACTGGGCGGAGAAGATTTGGGATTGGGAGACGAGCGTCGGCCTGATCACGCCCGAATTCAAGATTTACGACGGCGCCACGGTCGACAACGGGATGAACTGCAAGGATATCGACACGATCCAGTGGTCGTACAATGCGGGCATCTTCCTGCACGGTGCCGCGACCATGTACAACTTAACCCAGGACAAGAAGTGGTTGACGCGAACCGAGGGCGTCCTGACCGAAGCAACGACCCTATTCTTCAACCAGACCGCCATGTTTGAGCAGGCCTGCGAGGCATTCAAGCTATGCGACCAGGACCAGCAAAGTTTCAAGGGGTACTTCACGAGGTGGATGGCCGGAACGGCGCAGGTGGTGCCCTCCCTGTTTGACAAGATCATGGGCCTGCTCAGGCCCAGCGCGGAGCTCGCCATTGCTGCGTGCAACGGCTCGCCGGCTACGGGCTATAAGGGACAACCGGGCACGGCGTGCGGCTTTCAATGGGTGCCCAAGGGCCAGTTCGACGGCCAGGTCGGCGTGGGCGCGCAGATGAACGCGCTCGATGCTGCCATGTATATGCTCGTGAAGAAGGCGGACACGAAGACGGCGCCGGTGACAGCGGACACGGGCGGTACGTCGGTGGGTAACGCCAATGCCGGCATGAGCTCGCAGCCCAAGATCCCTACGTTGCCGCCGATCGAGACCAAGGATAAGGTGGCTGCTGGATTCGCTACGACGGCCATCACTTTGAGTATCGTAGCCGGGTGCTTTTTCATCATGAAATGAGAAAACGCATAAACCGTTCCTTCAGCAGCATTTATCTGGTACTTGAGTTCTCGTTCGAACATTTAATTTGGCAACGGCATGGGATGAGGCGTTTTTGGGTGTGAAAAGACCAGCTTTGATAGCTGTCTGACATGATATACTGGCATTGGTATGTGGGCGGCAACAAGTGTACAGACCTTTATCCAGAAGAGGGTTCGGGTTTACGATATACCCTACATACACATACATTGACATATACACACTCTATTTTCATGATGCCAATTTGTTCTCCGATGCTCCGTCGCCTAGAGTTTCCCTCATCCTCATTTCCAGTATCGAGAGCTTGCGCAAGCAGTCACTACTTTACTTCTCAATAGCCGTGTCAGCCACAAGATGAAGAAAAGGCGCTTGCAATGTATCAAAAATGATAAGCCAAGTCAGGTAAGCTCCGACGGCAACAATTGCTGTCGTGAACCGATTCAAATTTTACTCCCCTCATCTTCTTTTTAGCGTTGCGGGAGGTAAAAATCTCCCAATCTGTACGGTGCAGAAGAACGTCGGCGAGACCCCGGGCGCTTGCGCTTGCCGGATGAGGTGACGTTTCCACCCCCGCGGGCCCCGCATAAGGTACATACCACCCGACCCCGCGGCGCGGAAGCTGTTGGGAAGAGGAGGAGGACCACTTGAGGACCTAAAGAACATTGGAGAGAGGTGAAGTTTGGGTGGGACGTCATGGTCGTCCAATTGCTCGGTCCCTTGTGGCCGACTTACATAGACTCGGGTTGTTCCCCCGTTTACCTTGTGAATGAGAAGGATGTCCTCTCGCTCTCTCCTCATCTCCCCTCAACTACTACCGTCCCCTCATATCTAATTGCGAGGACAATCTTGGATTATTTGGTTCTTTCTCAACTTCATAAGCACCATTATCAGAGGTGACGTTGTCCAAGCTGAAGAAAGCTTCATCTTATCTGGGCATTACACCACAATACATCTCACCCTACCATCAGGCAAAACATATCCGAAGCAAACCCCCTTCAAGATGTCAGCCAAACACTTCATCAACGACCCAACCAAGCTGGTCAATCAGGCCCTCCACAGCCTAACCCTCACAAACCCAAGCCTGGCCCTCGACAAGCCCAACAAGATCATCTACCGCAGACCGACACCCGATGCCGCCCACAAGAAGACCGTCTCCGTCGTCTCGGGCGGCGGCTCGGGCCACGAGCCCTCCTTCGCAGCTATGGTCGGCCAGGGCCTCCTCTCCGCCGCCGTGGCGGGCACTATCTTCGCCAGCCCGAGCGCGGAGCAGGTCCGGACGGCCGTCGCCTCGCGCGTCGACACCAGCGCGGGCGTCCTGGTCACCGTCATGAACTACACGGGCGACGTGCTCAACTTTGGTATGGCCGTCGAAAAGGCGCGCGCCAGCGGCCTCGACGTCGAAATGGTTGTCGTCGGTGACGACGTCGGCGTCGGGCGGGCCAAAGCGGGCAAAGTCGGACGGAGGGGCATCGCGGGCACGGTGCTCGTGCACAAGATTGCCGGCGCGCTCGCGGCGCAGGGCAGGCCGCTGGCCGAGGTCGCCAAGGTCGCGCGGCTGACGGCGGAGAACCTCGTCAGCGTCGGCGCGAGCCTGGAGCACGTTCACGTTCCCGGGCGCGCGGTGCCCAGCGGCGAGGAGGAGGGCGCGCTGCAGCTCGGCGAGGCGGAGCTGGGCATGGGGATTCACAACGAGCCCGGCTCCGGCCGGGAGAGCGCGGACCTGGAAGGGTTGGTGGGCAAGATGCTCACGCAGCTGCTGGATCAGAGCGACAAGGACAGGGCCTTCTTGAACGTCAACTCGAACGAGGTCGTGCTGCTGGTCAACAACCTCGGTGGCGTGAGCGCGCTCGAGCTCGGAGGCATCACGGCCGAGGTCGCGGCGCAGCTCGAGGGCAGCTACGGGATCCGGCCCGTGAGGATCCTCAGCGGAACGTACATGACGAGCCTCAACGGCCTGGGTTTCAGTATTTCGCTGCTCAACGTCGTCAACACGGACATTGGCGGCCCGAGCATGATCCAGCTGCTCGATTACCCGACCGAGGCCACGGGCTGGTCGTCGCCCATCCTCAAGGAGACGTGGGAGGCCAAGAACCAGGCCACGCGGGAGGAGGCGGCGGACGCCGGGCAGGCGACGAAGCCTAGCGATCTCAAGTATGATGCTGCTGCGGCCACCAAGGCTATCACGGGCGGTCTGCAGAGGGTCATCGCGGCCGAACCCGAGGTGACTAGATATGACACCGTCGTCGGTGACGGCGACTGCGGTATTGGTCTGAAGAGAGGAGCTGAAGGTAAGAGCCAAATCCCCCCATCCAATTTAGACATCACAACAGGCATGCATGCACATTCCGCTGACACGCTTCACCGTCACCAGCAATCCTCAAGCACATCTCACAGAACCCCCTAACAGGCGACGCCGTCGTCGACCTCGCCTCCGTGGTCCCCGTCGTCGAGAACACGATGGACGGCACCTCGGGCGCCCTCTACGCAATCTTCCTCAACGCCCTCACCGCCGCCCTCCGCAGCCTGTCCCCCGGGTCCGCGGACGCAAAGACCTGGGCCGCGGCCCTGAAGCAGAGCAGCGACGCCATGTCGCGGTACACGCCCGCGCGACCCGGCGACCGCACCCTCGTCGATGCGCTGTACCCCTTTGTCGAGGTCCTCGGCGAGTCGGGCGACGTCAAGAAGGCGGCCGAGGCGGCGCGGGCGGGCGCGGAGACGACAAAGGGCATGAAGGCCAGCCTGGGGCGGACGGTGTACGTCGGCGGCTCCGGGTTCGAGCAGGTGCCTGACCCTGGCGCGTGGGGGTTGAGCTGCTTTTTTGGCGGGTTGGCGGGCCTTGAGGGTGAGGATGGATGGGAGAAGCTGTAGAGATGGATTGCCGAGTCTGCAGTTTTCAAATTGGTTTCCTTGTGTATAAGGCGGATCGCGCCTGTTTTTAGTAGTAATTTTCCTTGCTGAGTGAATCGGGTAATAGGGGGGGGGAGGGTTTGGTGGTTGCACAAAGCTTGGAAAATCGGTAGAATGCTCAGAGTCAGGGAGAAAATGAAAAGAACCCAAATGATCCATTTTGTCTTCAACGCCTATCTCATCCCGTTTTGAAACAATAAAACCACTTGACCGTGGGTATTTATGCGAAACTTGTTTCCCTCCCAAGTTTTTGGTTCGTCCGCTGCTCTTCTTTCCCCGCCTCTCTTTTAACTCATACGATAGGGTACGGTGAGCATGCGCCAAGTTGTCCCCCAACCAAGCGCTCCTCATTCACGGTCCCAGTTCACCAGGTTTTTTCTTGCTGAGGTATATTTCTTCGCATGGCCGGATAGTGTAGTCCCTCGTTCTCCCCGCTTTCTCGAACTCAACGATCTTGTGCATGGCCCAGACGTTTATCGTAGAGGGGCCGCATAACAAGACTAAAACGCTCAACTCCTTCTCGTTCGCGGTTTTTGAATTCCTTCAGCTCAGAAGGACCAGAATGACGCTATCACCACGGAGAAACCTATGTAGATGTTAGCCTCCAGTTCTTGGGGGTATCGGACGCGAGGTGGGCATGAACTGACATCTTGCTGATGAAGCGGTCCTTGTTGACGGGACGACCCTTCTTGCCGTTCGCCAGGCGCGGCGTCTCTGTCCACATTTCCTAAAGAGTACCAACATCAGCCTCGCTCTTTGTGATTCCTGGCGACGAGTAAGGGTAGGGAGTTATCGCACCTTGACGTTCTCCAGAACCATGTTGCAGTGTCTGTCAAAGGCCTTGACGCGCGCGAGGAGCTTTCGGTTGTTTCTGATGGAGATGAGGACCTGGGTGTGGCTGCGGACGGCGGTCTGGAGGATGGAGAGGGGTCCGGCGCTGAACTCGTGCTCCTCGAGCTGGGCGATTTCGTACTCGGTCAACTCATTGCGCGACTTGGTAAGAAGCTCCCTGTTGGTTTACGTGTTAGCACAATGGATGGATATCCTTACAGGGGATAAGAACGGATACGCACTGAATCTTGGGATCGGTCGACATGATGGGCAGTACTCTGGTGGGTATAGTCGTGGAGGGCGTTGATGGTGTATGTCGCGACAACGTCTTTGGATGCAGGGCCAAGGTACACACAGCAAGGCTGAAAGAGTTTGGCAGTCTCGCGGCTCAGCGTGATGGCGCACAGGTGCTCTGATTGGCCAATAGCTTCAGTGAGGTCGGCGCTGGAAAAAGTGTTGCCGTCCAAAAATTACAGGCTAAAGCTGCACTGGATAGCTTGCAGCGATGTGCTAGGTTTAGTGGGGGTTTCCTGCTAGGCGCACCTTGGTCAGTGCGCGCAACTGGCAGTCTTGAATTACCTTACCGGACTGACCCATGGTTATTCTCGGCCTCGAATTTGACGTGGAGAAGAGCTTTGGAAAACCATTCCCGCGACATCACCTAAATCGAAGCTCCTTTACCACCACCCCCCTTCCTCCCCTCTCCCCCCTCCGGCCCGTCTTCCACACGCCCACTATCCGTCAGTCGATGCATCGCTTGTCCTAGACGAGCGCATTGGCAGCTGGTAGTAGACAAATGTTCTCAAGAGCGATCGCACTTAGAGCCAGGCCGGCAGCGTTAGCTGCTCCTTGCCGGAGCTGCAGCAGGAGCTTCGGTATGCCTCTCAGAGCCAAGATCATCGGCGCGGAGGCCTCATCACGCGCACAAGTGAGTCGCTCTACATGTCTTGCTATCGGTATTGTCGAAGACGTTGACTAACATACCCTCTTCAACAGATGTCGACCCAAATCCCGAAAGGGTTTGAGCAGAAGGCCAAGGACGACCCTGACGATGTCATGTTCAACAGCAGTTACGGTCTGAGGACCATTGAGCTTAACCGCCCGAAGAAGCTCAACTCCCTGGACGGAAGCATGATCCGAAAAATCCTGCCGAGATTGGTCGAGTGGGAAAAGTCGGATCTGGCAAACGTGGTAGTCATGAAGGGATCAGGCGAAAAGGCCTTCTGCGCCGGCGGAGACGTCGCCGCACTGGCAAAGTGGAATAAGTTTGAGGATGGATGGAAGCGGAGCGCAAAGTACTTCGAGCTCGAGTACAAGCTGGACCACTACATCGCGACGTATCAGAAACCCTATGTTGCCTTCATGGATGGTATCACCATGGGTGGCGGTGTCGGTCTGAGCATCCACGCGCCGTTCCGCGTTGCCACTGAGCGCACGATCTTCGCCATGCCCGAGACAACGATTGGTTTCTTCCCCGACGTTGGCGCCTCATTCTTCCTGCCCCGGATGGCCGGCTCCATCGGCACGTACCTCGCCCTGACGAGCGAGAGACTCCAGGGCGCCAACGTCTTCTACTCTGGTGTCGCCACGCACTACCTCCACTCGACTTCTTTGCCCCAGGTAGAGGCCCGTCTTGCCGAGATTCGATTCCGCGATCACGATTCACTGGAGAAGCGCCTTCAAATCGTCAACCAAACCCTCGAGGAGTATGCCACCGGTCTCCCTCACAACGAGCCCATCCTTCTTGGCGGCGACTTGCGCAAGGCCATTGACCGCTGCTTCAGCCAGAGCAACATCGATGCCATCATCAAGGCCCTCAAGGCTGAGAAGGGCTCGACGAAGCAGTGGGCCGCGAAGACGATTGAGACGCTGCACAAGCGGTCGCCTACGGCCGTCAACGTTGCGCTGAGACAAATGCGCATCGGTAGCACTTGGTCCATTGCTGAGACTTTCAAGCGCGAGCACAAGATTGCAGAGAAGTTCATGCAGCAGGGCGAGTTCACCGAGGGTGTGACTGCGTTGCTGATTGAGAAGAGGGCCCCGGTATGGAAGCCTGCTACTCTGGAGGAGATCAAGCCTGAGATGAACGTCACGGAGCCCTTCTTTGAGTCCAGCGGAGAAGAACTTGAGCTGCTGAACGACCGTGACTACAAGGAGTACCCGTACACATACTTTGCTCTACCGACCGAGGCCGATGTACGAAAGGTTGTGCTCGAGGGCCAGCACACTCCCGAGGAGGTCGTGAAGAAGCTCGCCGCCTCGAAGAATAACCGACAGGGTGTCGAGGCGGTAGTCAAGGAGATTGTGGACCGCAAGGTCCTCGCGAACGAGGAGGGTCGCGCGGTCTGGCCCGAGGAAAACCAATAGATGGTGTTGGGATATGTCACCGGGGTAATTCCCAGGTGTGTATGATACTGTAGATGCTTTTGCCATGTATCTGAATAAATTTCACGGACTGTATTGTGATCTATTATTGACATTCGATGGAATGCATGGCTGTGTTCGTTGTGAAAGTGGAGATCGTGAACTGTGTTGGTCAAATGCTTCATCAAATTGTCGTAGTTGAGCCTGATTGGCCCAATAAGTTTGGCATTAAGGAACGTTGGAACCTCGGTGGATTGGAAACAATGCAGAAAAGTTGGGGTAGCGATGGCTTCGTGCTGATAGGCGGGCCTGGTATTGTTGCCTGCACGGCTGTGGTGGTCGCCTCGAAAATATCGGAGATAAGATGAACCAACTATTCCGTCATACAAGTACTCCGTACCTTGAGGTGAGGCAAGATTCCAGGCCCTACGTTCCATGACAAACCTCTCGACATGAAGAGCGATGACTGTGGCGGATGAGCTTTGATGGCTTCGCTGTAATGGGTTAATGGCTACTGGTTGCCGGATGAGAAGGCGGGCGAACGTGGAGTCACGGATGCAAACACCATGGTAGCGCTGAAAACCTCTAGGTAAACTAAGATGAAATGAGGTGGATGGGTCGGGAGTTGGAGGGGGGAATGAATGAATGATCGATCTCTCGGTTGGACGGGCAGAACTTCGACCCTGGTCCGTGAGATTGATTGTACGGACAACCCAGGCGAAAGACGGGAAGAGAAGAGGAAAAGAGAGAGACCTCAGGCTCAGGCTTCAAGAAGTGGGCAAGTATAAAGAGGGCCCCCGGCCCCCCTTCGCCGTCTTCGGGCAGGAGAGCAAAGAGCAGCTTGCATTTCTCCCCTACCATTTCTCATCATCTTTTTGTAAGTTCCGGTGCTTGGTCCGCCCTGGTCCTGAGTCGCCGGTGTCGAGTCCCGGTTGCAAGCACAAAGTCCGACCAAGAAGAGGCAGTAGCAACCGGCTGGTCAGCAAGAGGACGAGGCCCCACCCGCACCCGAGAACCTCAGAAAGCGAGGAAAGAGGGGACCCACTTACGGCATTCACACAGCAACCGCCTCCAGAGGCTCCAGAGGCTTCAGGGGGGGTCACATCCGAAATTCCAGCGGCAAAGGTTTCGGTCGAGCACGGACCATCACCGGAAGCCCTTTGAGACCTTCCTCCGCTCTCCCCGGTGGGCCACTCAAGTCGCGGACGAAAGCGTGCACAGCGTGTTTTTGGCGCGTTCTGGATTCGGTGCAAAAGCTGGGTTCGCGCTAAGAAGCTAAGCGGCCCTTACCCCTGGTCCAACGTCACAGCACCCCCTGCTGGTCTAACCCGCTTTGGGCGGCCTGTATTGTGACTTCCTTCATTGTGTACCCGCTGTATTCTTTTACTACACGCGACAGACTTCACGTCTTCCATTCCTCGTTGTACTGTCCGTCCCAGGTCACAAGTCTCACCTGCAACTTGCTGGTAAAAGCTTGAGCCTTTTCCATTGATCTGTCCGGCATCGGGTTTGAAAAGTGTCTCTACCTGTCTAACTCTGCACCAAAATAGCGAGGCGTGCGTTTGTCTCGGAGCTGCTCTCTAGTCGCGCATGGGCTTTAAGTGGTTTGATCCACTTCCCAAAAACGCGACTTACACCAAAGCCGGGCCCAGGACGCGACTTCCTTCACGACCACGGCCATGATACCCGCCCCGCGCTTTACGTGACGCCTGCACTTTACCACTTTAACCACTACAAACACCAATTCGTAACCCACTCTCAACTCTCAATCCCTCCACTTTCTTTTCCTTTTTTCCTACCCTTGGTCACCGCCCAACAACTACTGCCGGCACCACTCGACTCTGTCGGCAATACCTCTATCTATTCGTCCTTTCATATTCACCCGTCACCTCGCTTTCGAACTGGACGAACACTCGAGTCGGTGACAGCCTCGCCTACGATGGCGTCGCCAATGCCATCAGCGCCTGTGGGTAACTGGGGAGGTAACGGCCAAGCGATGCCACCACAGCCTCCTCCTGGCCCAGCAGATATGGATGATGCGGGTGTCCAGATTCGAACCATGGGCCGTGAGTGCTCTCAGTTCTATTCCTGCTCTGTCGTCCGCCGGATATACTGACTGGGAGATACAGTCAAGGTCATTTACGCGTTCGCCGACAGCGGCGAGAGCTTCCTGGCACGACACTCAGAACTACTCACCGTCCAGACAGTACCAATCGACGAGAAAACCACAGTCGGCATGGTAGACTTGAAGTTGTGTGCCCAGGCCGTTGTTAAGTGCAGCCCTGAGCTGCTGAGCGACGCCACTCGCGACTTCGCCGTCTACGCATACGACTACTCCGAACCCGATGAGCCATTGGTCGGACAGGGCTTCCTAGGATGGATCATGAACAACACAGATGGCAAGAGGATCATTGGCCGCACCACCAGGAATCCTCTTTCGGTTTTTAGCGGTGGCGTCAAGGAGATCTTGGAGATCAAACTGAAGCTGAAGCCAGTAGCCGCCATGACACAACCGAGATACGAAGTCGAACCTAGACCAGACGCTCGACACTCATATCAGCGCTCTGAAAGCCACATGAGCGTCGAGATACAACCCACGAGACCCAATGAGGGTGCACTCACGCCCAATAGCCATGCCGAGTGGGCCAGCTTCATGCAGTCGAATCAGCAGATGGGCAACCAGCAACATCCCCAAAATGGTGCATCCCCTCACCACCTGCCCCAGCACCACAACGAGTTCCATCATCAACCACAACCACCACAGCAACGACAACAAATGCAGCGAAGCAATTCTTTTGCCTACAATGGACCCCCGCCACAGCAAATGCAAAATTCACAACTTCAACAGACCATACGCCAAGCGCCCATGCAAAATTCTGAAGGGCCTAATCGGGTGGCCCCTACCCTTGTTGACACAGCAACCGAGACCCAAGTGAATCCACCATCGAGACCATCATCCAGGGCTTCAAACACATCAAAGAAATCAAGATCTACCGGACGACCGCGTGGTCGCCCCCGAAAGCAGCCGAGGGCTGAGACTCAAGGTAACACGTCGGGCTATGAGGATGGAACCGATGGCGACGATGGTCCAGCCAAGAAGAAGAGGGCAACCATGACCCAGGTCACAGGCAACATCAATGCCCCTTTTGGTGGCGGCTCTGGCCCTCTCCGCGTCACAGCAAGCACGGCTGGCTCCTTGCGAACCTTGCGACCGGCCGGAATTTCTCAAGACCCTTCTATGGGCCCTCACATGCAGGATGTGCCTAGAGCCCCGACACCCGTCCCAGACAGAGGTCCCTCAATGCCACAGGGTGGCAAGGCCACGAAGGGTAGCAAGTTGCGTCGGCAGTCGACATTGAGCCAGGCCGCCACGCCTCCCAGCCAACCCCAGTTTTCCGAACCGCCCTTTGCCATGTCTCCGAGTCAACAAGATGGCCGCTCCCCGGACTCAGAGGCCGTGTCTCCCAACTTCTCCGAGGACAGCCCTGCAGCCATTGGATCTTCACCGCCCGTCCCTCGTACCACCAGCTTTGTGCGGTCAAGTCCGCCGGCGTCCAGCCCGATACTCCCTCCTATGCGAATGCCAATGCCAATGCCACAGCATGACTCTGGCTTTATGAGCGGCGGCGTTGACGACCTTTTCGATGGCGACATTATGAAGCCACTTCCGAAACCCGTTGCTACTGCACCGAAACAATCCAAAGGGCGAAAAACGAATCGCAATGAGACCAAGGAACACATAGATGAATCCGGTATCCCCATCCAAGTCTTTCAGCTGGCGGAGCATGTACCCAGCGAAATAGATAATGCTCCGAAGATCCGGAAGCAACCCCCTCCTAAAGCACCCACTTCGACGCCGTCGACAGAGCCATTACTGCCTCCTCTACAGCACGCCGTCGGCGAGTCCAACATGACAGTGCCTCCGCAGCCTGCGGGAAAAGAGCCCTCACCACAACAAGAGGAGCCGGTTGTGGTGATAAAGCCTGATGTCGATATGGACAGTCAAAGTGCTCCCAGTTTCGAGGCCCCTCGGTCTGAAGATAGCCTTGACATAAGACTCGAGCAACTTGTACAAGCTGTGCAGGATAAAGCACCTGATGTAGTGTTGCCGGAGCCTTCGACATCGGCTCCTAGCGCAGCCGAGGTCTTTGCTCTTCCTTCCGCACCACCTTCTCTTTCTCGGTCTACTTCTGCAGGATTTTCGCAGGCACTTCCTATGGTCCCGGCCAGCGACCCGATCGGTCCTATCGCATTGCCAGCTCTCCCACTTCCAGATATAACCTCTTTCTCCGAAGCGCCCTGCCCGCCAAGCGACGCGTTTCAACCCCCAAGATCACCGACCCAGGCCCAGAAGGCAAACAAGAATTATGTCAAGAAGAAAGCCATCAGAGAAAAGCTATTGCAGGCCATCGAGAGTGGGCAAACCCCCATGTACTGCAACAACTGTGGTGCTATTGAGACTCCCACATGGCGCAAGATTTGGTCTCAAGAGCATGAGGGTGTCCCCGAATTCACCGAGTTTTCGGACAAGCCTGGCAGAATCACTGCCATCCTGGTCTTGGAGCGAGATGATGAAGATAAAGTCACCAAATACCAGGTCATCAAGAAAGGCTTGGCACCTCATGAGGATAAGTCAGAATGGAAATGGCATATGCTCTGCAATCCCTGTGGTATTTGGTTGTGTAAATGGAAGGCGCATCGGCCATCGGAAAAATGGGAGAAGGACAGATCTCGACTCAGTCAACAAAGACGGCCTCGGGGTACTGGGCGAGCTCCTAGACCGCCCAGGACGAAGAAGTCGGATTCGGCAAACCCGCTCAATCCGACGTCTGAAGCTTACTTCACTACGGACCCCATCGGGCCCGACGATCGGGGCATCTCGCCCATGGATGAGAGCAGATCTCGCGGCATCTCACAGGTCAGCAATGCCAACGAAGCTTCACAGCGATCAGTCTCTCAGCTATCGATGTCTCAACCGCCTGACTATCAGGGCTCACGGCCAGCGTCGCCCGGGCATGCCTCCAACCCGGGGTCTACCCACTCTCGAGGAAGCGGTACCGCCAAGAGCCCAATCACCCTCGACAATACCGACGTGGTGCAAGATATGGGTGGCACCCGACGGCTCCTATTCCCTTCACCTCGAAAGGAAGGCGTTGCTAAGGTCCTGGGCGAGGTTGCCGTTAACATCGTACAAACTGCGCCGGAACTGAACGTCTCGGCGGAAGCTGCACAAAACAAGGAGTCCACCGACAAGTCTAGCAAGGACGAGGCGCAGAAGGACACCGGGTCGAATAAGGAGAACCTGGCTATTCCTAATGATGACCTCGAAGATCTGTTTCGGAGCCCCATCGCTCGTCCGTCGACACCGCCCCCTCGGGAAAGGCCTGCTAACAGCGGCCCCTTCAAGACTCCCACTCGACCGACACCCAGCCATCGTCCCATCACTAGAAGCGTCACTAGGAGTGTCTCGCGGTCGCTGAGGTCGGGCGATATGCTTCGATCACCCATGGCTATGCGCCGCACGCCTATGAGGACTCCGCGGTCGGCTAAGGGCCAAATCCGGAGGAGCCCTCGCCTGCATCATGAAGAGTTCTCTCAGATGGAAATGGCCTTGGAGGAGTACCTTTCAAACCAACCGGTCGACCACCAGTATGACTCTGATATGCTAGAGGCTATGAATCGAGCATTGGCGGAGTCCATGAATGCTCCTGGTTCAAGTTTTGACATCACCAGTATGATGATGGATTCAGACTGTCAACTCGAATTCGGTGATCTGTTGGATTCGCCATCCAAGCCGACGCCGCGACCGACTCGGCAAACGAGTGATTACGAGGATTGGGAGACGTGGGAGAAGAACATGCGTGAGCGCCAGGCGGCAGATGATGCCGCACGCGACTAGATACCCGGTGGAAGTTTTCACGAAAGCGCGGGACATGGGTCCACGCAATACGCGCAGCATCGCCACGAGTCGTATGATATTTCTTATTGGTTTTGAGTGAGTTGCATCATAACAGCGCGCCTGCGGGCATGAGATATATGGGAGAAGGCGTTTCGGGGCATCACAAAGAGGATGCCTGGGTGGACCTAGAGTTCACAACACCGGCCTTGGTGCTATGGTGATGAGTCATACGTTGCCTCTGCTACTGCATTGATTCGATAGTTTAGGATGAGGCAATTGGCCTTATCCCAGCAATACATTTGTTAATGACATACATACCTCTCATTCGTGACAACCCCATGTAATCTTCCTACCTCATAGTGACTTATACCGTTTCGTCATTACATATGTCATGTACAGCTTCAATCTACTTTTCAGAACTGACCCAAGGTTGAATAACACCTGTCGTCGGCAGATAGACGCTTTCGTCAGTACTCGCGGAGAGCGAGGCGCAGATTACCAACATAAACTTCAGTTACTGCAGTTTTTATTTTAAGCTCGGATGGGGGCTTGTGTGTTGGAGATTGAAAGTCCACATAAATACCAGTAGTGTTATCCGACGACGTCCGGTAATACTGCATGCAAGCCCGAAATTTCCGGGGCTAATGTGTCAGGTCGAAGTGATGGCTGCCTGCGTTGTCCCTTGGCGGTATCTCGAGATTGAGAGTTTCTAGTGTAGCCTACCTCGCCTGCCAGAAACAGCTGTAAAAAGGGTCAACGCAGAGGTGTGTCTCAAGAGTGACAGTTGAAGCGCTCCTGTCGATTGTCGTATCGAGAATCCCACTGGAAATTGCGTCGAGAATCGCGTTAAGAGTCGTCAGAGAACAGCCAGAGAAAGCCAGATACAAAGGCATACCTCGAGACGTCAGTGGAAGCGATCCAATTGATAGTCGCGTTGAGCTGAGGATGGTGTTGACGTTGAAATGTGTGTATTAGGCGTTGGGTGACGACGAGCAAGAGCTATCAATGAAGTCTTGTTTCTTCTTCGTTTGCCTCCCCTTTACACACACACACACACACACACACACACACACACACACATATTCTCTCACCACAGCCGGTCACTCTCATCATTCGTAGGTGACCTCTTTGCCATTTCCAGGAAGAGATGAATGCCCGACGTAGCCTTCAACTTGAGATATAAATGAACAAGAAGAAGCAGGAACAAATCATCGCAATCAAAAGGGACATATAAAAACAACACGCCGGACCTGTCACAGCCGATCAGTATCGTCTGAGATTTTCATGCCCAATGCAAGATTCAACTACTGGCACCAACTCAAATTCGAGTACACCTAGTTGTTGAGAAAAGCCAACCGCTCGATACGCTCTCGAGACTTGAGGGAAACAAGACCCCTCTCACAGTTAGAGTGAAAGGGCACGTTGCCTCTTTTCAAGCGTTACTCCTCACACTCATATTTGTGAGTAATTTCTTAGATATGTTTGAAAGAAAATGAATACTAAATGTGCTTCTTCGACGAAGAAGAGTGTTATCTTACTTGACTATGTTTCGTAAATTGAACAATCGAAGCATCTTTGCTCTCATAAAGCACTGCTCTTTACCCACATATTGATAAGAGATATTTGTACTCTCGTGAACCGCTACTCCCCAAGCTCGCATCCCTAGGCGATTTCCTCGCTCTGATAAATCACTGCTCCTCACGCTTGTATTCGTGGACAACCTCCTGAACGTCTCCGAGAAGACATACACGCCCGACATGATAGCCAGAGGGATAAAGTCCTCTCTTGCCCGGGCAGGTCTGGTGTTGGGGAGCAGCTCTCCAAGGCCCAAAGGAGCGGAGAATCTACAGTGCGGCCCTCGCTAATGCGTCCGAACCCCGGCACTTCAATGCTAAGGCTGATTCTACGGGTCTCCCTACAAAGCCCAATATCGAGATATAGTTCAATGAGCCCCAAAGGAATCGCACAGAGTCACGTCGACCCTGGTGCCTTTGTACCCGAGTGTCGGGTATCTCTAGTGCATGATAACGGCTGGCTCGCGTTTGCCTGGGTAACATCAATCATCTTCGAAATATACATCAGTCCAGGAGAAGCACACGATCTTCGGTCCATCCTTTCGTCTGAATATGAAGGTAGCGAATGGTTAGTGACACAGAGCGAGGATGATGGCGAGGAGGCCGAGGATCCAGAGTTGACAGTAGGTGATCTATAACAACCGTGCAGCCTTGAGACTGCACCCATCTACAGCCAGGTGATAGGATATAAAGTACACGTATTCTACACATTTTAACAACACCGCACTTGCTTCCCCGATTTTCGCTTCCAGCTTCTTCCGCTGCGTTACATCCCGGCTCTGTGGTTCGGCCGCCTGGGTACTCGTGTCCGTCCTCCTCTCTGCTCCTACGAACACGCACGACGTTTCCCTCTCTACTTTCTCCTGACCAAGCCCTTGGCGTTGGAGTACCCCTTGATACGCTTGGTGTACTTCCACAGGTGCTTGTACTTGGCGGACTGGCGCTTGGCTTCCCAACCGCGGGCCTTCTTGGGCTCCTTGAGCGAGAAAACGCGCTTCGGGCGGAACTCAATGTCGGCGCCCGGCACGCCGGCGCGCTCCATCACGCCGGCGGTGTTCTCGTCCCAGATGGTGCGGAAGATGTTGAAGCCGACGGGCTTGAGGTTGAACTTGTCGCGGTACGACTTGAGGGAGAAGCCGTCGCGGGCCTGGTAGAGCTTTTTGAGCTGGGCGGTGTCGAGCTTCTGGTCGCCCTGCTCGAGAATGAAGACGGAGAGGCGGTGGTAGGGGGAGCCCTTTTGCGCGAAAGCGGGCAGATAGGGAACGGCGAGCTGGGCCTCGTCGCGGATCTTGGAGAGCGGGATGGACGTTGCTGTCGGCGAGACGGGGACGTTGGCGGCGAGGTAGTGGCAGCGCTTAGTGAAGCCGTCGGTCTCGACGGAGGGTATGTCCGAGTCCATGATAACGATGGAGACGAGACGCTCGCCTGCCGTGAAGGGGGTGATGCGCAGACGCGGGGGCACCTCGGAGATGTTGCTGGGGAGGATCTTGCCGGGGGGGACCTTGGAGCGGCGGAAGAAGAGCTGGACGTCGTAGGTCGGCTTGATCTTGGGGAGAATATCGGGGATGATATTGAGCTGTTGGATACGCTGCTCAATCATCTTGGCCTCGTAGGATTGCCACTTGCGCTCGGCAAGGAAGCGGTAGATGGGTTTGCTCATGTCACCTGTTCCAGAAGGCATGTTAGCTCTCAATGCGCGTCTCAAGCACACAAATCTACGTCATGTGTCCATACCGAGTCCATCCTCGAACCGCCTCTTGACAGCGGGATCGTTGATATCCGCCAGAATCTTCAATCTCTCGACCTGCTTCCGCAGACTGGACAGCCTCATCTGACGCATCCTCTCTCCTCCCCTGACCTCATCACCACTCAAGCCCTCCAGCAACTTGATCGCTTCCGTCTCCTTCACAATAGCACGCAGCTTCTCCTCGCGGTCGGCGGCGAGGATCTTGCGCGCCTCCTGGAAGGCCTGGTAGGGCAGCTGCTCAAAGGGGATGTTTGAACTCGTGCGGATGGCATAACGGCGACGTCTCGAACCAACGGGCGGTGTGCCTGCCTTCCACAGATCCTTCTCGGCCCACGGCGCGACGGCCGTGTTGGGGTCCAGCTCGACGGGGTCGACGGTCTCGGGACGCTCGCGCGACACCTTGTACACTTCGGCGGCAGGGGCGGGCGTCGTCGAAAGACTTCTCCGTATCGGCAGGGGCGTGGCGACTCTGTTCAGGCATCGGTGAAGCGGCCGGATGGCCTGCCTACACGACGATGACATTTTGGGCTGTGAAAGGAGAGGGGGGCGTGGTGGGTTCGGCGGGTGGTCGTCTGAATCCCGACCAGAGCTTCTGAAGGAGGTTTTTCACCAGAGCTTCACGAGTCTGCTTTGCGGGTCTCCATAATTATTTTTCCAATTGAACGGCGGAATATCCCGCCCCGGACAGGGAACTGGAGCTCCCATTGACAAGCCACACAGCGTGCACACTACAGGTACGTACCATTAATTGACGCTGCCTGATTGGTAGCTTCCTTCGATAGGACGGGCCAAATTTTCGTGTTTCCTGCGGAAAGGGTTGCAGCTCCCGATATTCCAACGCATCGAAGGAGCAGCCCATCGAACATCGTGAACTCCTCTTGCGACGTCCGTACACACAATGGCCGGCAAAGGAGTCAGGAGCCTTGGAGAGGCTATGAGGGGGCTGTCCCTCTCGTCGATGTGCAGGAAAGCGAGCTCTGCAACCTCCTTCATTGGCTCATCCAGCTTCACGAGATCAATGGCCACCGAGGCGCCATTCCCCGGCATCACAACCTCCGCCTACAGCACACCTAAGCAGACGGAGTGGACACCAAGTACGTTCTACAGAAACATATTCCATCCTGTACAAGATGCAATCACTAACGTCCCCTTCTCAGCCACGTCCGTTCCTGTCACAGTTCACGCCTTCCCGACGCTCGAACCCCAATCCCTCGAGTCCTACTCGACGAAGCACCTCTACCTCCCCCTCCGCCGCGACCTCCTCCATCTCGCCGTCGTCTACGAGGGCGACTCCACCCGCCAGGGTACGGCCAGTACCAAGACCAGATGGGAGGTCCGTGGCTCGCATAGAAAGCTACACCCGCAAAAGGGAACCGGTCGCGCCCGCGCCGGCACGAAGCAGTCGCCCATCCGCCGCGGCGGCGGTGTCGCCCACGGCCCCAAGCCGCGCGACTTCAGCACCTCGCTCAACCGCAAGGTCTACGACGTCGCCTGGCGCACCGCCCTCAGCTACCGCTACCGCCGCGGCCAGCTCATCGTCTGCGAGGACGGCATGGAGCTGCCCCTGCCCCAGGATTTCCTCGCCCTGACCGACGGAGGCTTCGTTGGACCCAAGATTGCGGAGGAGTACCGCCGCAAGTGGATGATGCAGGTCCTCGAGGCCAACCAGTGGGGCAAGG